GGGGGGGGGGGGGGGGGGAGACATGCTATAACCCCAGTGATGGCTGTGCAGAAGCCCCTGCCTTTCTGAGCCTCTTGGAGTGCCAGCCACAGGGGCCACGGCAGGACTCACTCTGGTGACTGGTTCATTCTGGTTCCCCCCTCGCTGCTGCTGCCTCCGGAGAGTCTGTTGGCCTAGCTGGACACGAGTGTTTTGTGGCCAGTGTGGCCTAGACCCATTCAGCCCAAAGTAACTGGACTGTGTCTGAGTCAGCAGTAGGGATGTATGACACCAGAGCTTCAAGACTTCAAAAGCAAAGCAGGTGGCATTTTACTGAACATTTAGATGTTTGAGGTAACCTTTTACAGAGTGGGAAAGGTGTTTCTCTAGTTTTAAGTTTTTCTGAGAAGGAATGGGCAGGAGTGGTTGTTTGGTTGTGGCTTGTCTTTTTATTTATTTTTTATTTTTAAAAAATTTTTTACCTATCTATACTTAGATACGAGGCAGACTTTATTCCTACCCAGGTAACAGTGATCAGTGATGCTGGTGCTAATGCCTGGTCTCCTCTGTTTCCCTGTTGCTGACCTCAGGCACCACACGGTAACTCGGGGCATCACCAAAGGCGTGAAGGAGGACTTCCGTCTGGCCATGGAGCGCCAGGTCTCCCGCTGTGGTGAGAACTTGACGGTGGTGCTACACAGGTTCTGCGTTAATGAGAAGATCTTGCTCCTGCAGACTCTGACTTGACTGGAGACCTTTCTGCCAGAGCCAGTGTGTAGCTGTGTAATTTGGGGGAAGACATACAGCAGTGACAAATGTCCCTCTAACAGCTCTTAAAAGGAGAAAAAAAGCCACCTGAATTCTAACTCCTTGGTTGCTTAAAAGTAGTTCCCAGGAGCCTGAAAACCAATTTCTATTTTTAAGAGTTGTTTTTTGTAATCTTTGTAAGACAAAAGAATCAACCCGTTTTGTAAATAAAAATCATCCTAAAATTTGAAGTTTTTATAAATTTATTTTATTCTTATGAGTTTCTGAACACGGTTGCATTTTTCTTCTACTTTTCCAAGCATATAGCAAGGGGAAATGTCCAACACAACTGAATTGAGTAATGACTTTTGTTAATGTAGATACTTAAAAAGACTATTCCTTCCATGATCTCAAGATTTTATTTTTCATAGTTAAGATTATCATATCAACATAATGTTAGGCCTTTTCATTCAAAAAGTTTTAATAACAAAAACCTTTATGCAAAAACAAACCTGAGCCTGTCCTCTTCCCCCATAGCCACTGAAGGGGCAGTACTCAGGGTTTTGCTGAAAAGCCCAGGACAGAAATTGCAGGGCAGAGGTGGGGTGGGGCAGAGGACCCTCTCCTCTGCCCAGGGGCTTTGGTGCCAGATGGCCTGGCTTGGCTTCCAACCGTGGAGCCCTGCCCTTTACTTGCTGTGTGACTGTGGACAACTTAACTTCCGTGTGCCTCATGCTCTTTGTCTGAAAAGTGGAAATATGATTGCTCTGTGCTCACAGGTCATTGCGAGGATCAAATGTCACTGTGTGAAGTGCTTAGAACAGTGCCTTGCACGTGGTAAGTGCCTGGCCAGTGATCGCTATCGGGTTTGTTTTTTTTCCTTTTGCTGTTCATGAAATATATCAGGCAAACATGAAAAAACACATTTGTTTCTAGGGGCTATTTAAGAATGAAAGAGCTAAGAAGTTTTTCAGTTACTTTGCATAAAAAGTCTTAGAAAATCTTCTAAATAAGATCCTTTTTTATAGGTATGTTAAAATCAATAAGGTAGTTTAAATAATAGACATCAGGTCTCAAGAATATCTTTCAGTTAGCTCATTTAAAAGTGTTTATCAATGTGGTACGGGTTTATTACAAATATATTCACTATCTCTTATTTTTATCATAGACTGTGTTGTCCCCTAACAGCTTTCAAACCAAAAGCTCTTAGCTTTTGGCTTTATAATACCTTCCTCAGACCAGTGTTTGGGGGCAGGGTACATCAGAAGAAGACTTTCTAATACCCAAAAATGTAGGCAGCAGATAAAAACGGACCAGTCGTCTTTTAACAGTGGTGTCACTTCTGTGTGTAGAAGTTGCAGAAGAAAGGCCACAGAACAAAACAGAAGCTCAGACTGAGTCTGAAGGCGAGGAAGGGGCTGCGTGAGAACCACAGACCTCCTGGCCCATAACGTCCCTCACCCACCTGCACTCAGAGACTGGACTGAATGTTAGCATGGCTTCTAGCAGCTTAAGGCCGTGTCATGGACAGCCTGGGTGTCCAGGCGGAGACTTGAAGCAGCAGAGTCACTGCAGAGCGTCCTCACTAGAGCAATGCCTAGTAGAGCTGTGAGAGTGGGGCCCTCCAGAGTCCCCAGAACTGTAGAGCATCAGCCTGGGAGAACTACATGCATAAGATGCCAGCTCATGATTGCTGCTGTGTGGGCTAAACTAGCAAAGCCATAGGACAGGGCTGCCTGAAGACTAAAGGCCCAACTCCCACCCCAGTGTCCTTAGGATACAGGACATGGAATCAAAGGAGATTATTCTGGAGTTTAAGATTTAATGTTTTCCTTGTTGGGTTTTGGATTTCCTTGGGAGCAGTTACCCCTTTCTTGTCTATTCCTCTCTTTTATAATGGGAATGTCTATGCTGCGCCTGTCCCATCACTGTATTTTGGAAATAGCTAACTTGTTCTGATTTCACGGGCTCACAGCTGGAGAGAATTTGCCTCAGGATAAATTGTGCCTTGAGCCACGCTCATACCTGATTTAGATGAGAGTTTGAACTCTGAACTTTTGACTTGATGCTGGAACAAGTTAAGACTTTTGGGGCTATTGGGATGAAATCAATGTACTTTGTATTGTGAGAAGAACATGACTTCTGGGGGACAGAGCCTGAATGCCATGGTTTGAATGTGTTTCCCCAAGTTCATGTGTTGGAAATTTAATCTCTAATGCAACAGTGTTGAGAGGTAGGACCTTTAAGAGATGATTCGATCATGAGAGCTCGGCCCTCATGAATGGATTAATGTTATTACAAGTGTCGGTTGGTTACCTTGAGAGTGGGCTTGCTATAAAAGCGAGTTCAACCCCCTCTTTCTTGCTCTCTTGAGTTCTGTCGCTCTTCCACCTTGCGCCATGAGGTGGCGCAGCAAGAAGACCCTCACCTGATGCCCGCACCTTAATCTTGGACTTCCCCGCCTGAGGAACTGTGGAAAACAAACATCTGTTCTTTATAAGTGACCCAGTCTGTGGTATTCTGTTACAGCAGCACAGAATGGACTAAGACAGTCTGTATTACCAATGAAATGAAGACGTTCTTTAAATGAACACAATTAGAACCACAAAAATAATAACCCCATACCCAAAGCAAATAGAATTAAATAGCCTCTGGTCTGGAAGGCATTTTAGAAGTCTTATGGCTGGTGCAAGTTCTTCATCCAATGTTTAGATCTACAACTGTGCTGTCCAACACTGTAGTTGCTAGTCACAAGTGACTACCGAGCACTTGAAATGAAGCTAGTCCCAACTGAGGTGCACTCTTAAGTGTAAAATATATACCAGACTTCAAAGTCTTAGTATGGAGAAAAGAATACAAAGTATCTCAATTATTTTTATATTAATTATATGCAGAAATGATAGCATTTTAGATATATTGGGTTAAAGAAGATGTATTGCTAAAATTTGTTTTACCTATTTCTTTGTTTTTAGTGTGGCTACTAGAAAGTTC